AGTCTCCCAACCAGTTTGGGAAGCTGGTCCCGCCATAAAGTTTGACGGTCAATTTCTCCAAATTCATGCAAGGTTGGAGCTTGTCAAGTACATCTCTCACCTTTTCAGAATGATCGGCATCTTCGGAGCTCCATGCCAACTCTAACTCCTTGAGATCTTTCTTGTTCTTCAAATTAGCTTGCAAGGCATCTCTACCATCAACTACATTATTAAGCTTCAAAATAGAAAGTTTTCCTTCAAGATGAGACAACTCCCTCAATTCTCCAATAGTCGACCCATTAGATTTCCCCACACAAAAAGTAGTCAATGTTCTCAAACTTTTTAGTCTACCCATTTGCACCGGCATCTCTTGAATTTGTGTTCCACTAAAATCAAGATGCCTCAAGTTAATCAATTTCCTCATGTCTATAGGCAATTCAATTAGAGAGAAACAATATGATAACAGTAATGTTTGTAGACTGTAGAGAGTGCAAACTGTGGAAGGTAACCTCTTGATTGCAGTATTTGAGAGATCCAAGTAGCGCAAATGAATGAGTTTACCAATAGAATCGGGTAACTCAATGATATTTTTATAGTGTGACAACGTTAGCACCCGTAAACATAACAGAGATGGGACTAACTCATGTAAAACCCTTTTACTTATGTAATTACGCCAAGCATGTTCTAATCTTAGAGGTAGGAAGGTTCGCAAATGCTTAACCTCATATAATGGCTCAAATTTCGCAGCACTATCAAAATGCCCTCTAGCATACGACAAATGCCGAACTCCTTTCAAAACTTCATGTGATTCACCCCCTTCCCATCTCAAATAGGATTCCCTTGACACAGACATAGCTAAGTCATTGATGAGATCATGCATTGTGAACTGTGAATTCCCAAATCTTGATCTTTGAAAAAATGATCGTGATAATAAGTCATCAAAGTATTTCTTAGTGAGCTCTTCCATTCTTTTTCCACTCTCAGCTTGTGGAATTAAACTTTCTGCCACCCAAAGTAGAACTACATCTTCCTTTTGGAACAGATAGCCTTTTGGGAAAATTGAGCAATAAGCAAAGCATCGCTTTAAATGAGTTGGGAGATAATGGTAACTCAATCTTAAAGCCGGAATTGTGTTACATTTCTCACGGGGTAGCTCCCAAATATTGCTATTTAATATGTTATTCCATTCCTCATAATCTGTGTTGAAACGTAAGAGACCTCCAAGTGTCTCTGCAGCTAATGGTAAACCGT